GGGCAGGAAGGCTTTTTGGAAGGATTCCAGATGTAATTATTGTGCTTTTTAATAACTTAAACCTGTCCTCAGATTTGGTTTAGGAAAAATYGCTGGGATCTGTTGGTTTCCTTCAGGCAAACTTGCTCTGCTCCCCTGTTTATCCAGGAGAGCAGCGAGCACCGACRATTGTCCCCCGAGCATGACGAGGACCCCGTCTGGAGCAGCTTTGGGGCTGGGGCTGAGCTTTTCCCTGCTCCCATGGGTGCCCCTGGCCTTCCCAACCCTCAGGACTGCAGGACTGTGCTGGGAGGGATGGTGGAGGGCTGGGGGACACMATTTATGGCTGGAAAATTCCCCCCCCAAGCACTGTCTACTGAGGTTGTTGCGTTCCCTGTTTGTTGTGAGCTGGAGGTGGCCTGTGGATCACACTTTGTGCAAAAGTGAATTCCTTTCTTTTTTTTATTTTAATTTTTCCAAATAGGAAACAAGTTGCTTTTGTGAAGAACACACTTGTCTGATGAATATGTCGAAATTATTCTTGGGGGGGGAGAAAAAATAAAAAAATCTAGTTATGAATGGAAACACATTTGTTTGTCATTGGGGAAAATGGATGGTCTTGTTGCTACAGCTGCTTTTTGCAGCTATGGGTAATCTCTGATCCAACCTGTGAGCTGCGGTACCCGCCGGGGAGGAGCCCAACACCCCCGCCGTGAGCTCTGCTGAGACTGACACSGAGCCTAGGCCAGCATCAGCTGATGTTCAGCTGATCTAAGCTGGGCTAGAGCTCCAGACAGCCCTGACCAAACCGGCTCTCAGCAGCGCGGCGGGGCAGGACTGAGCGCRGTACGTCTCGTCATGGTGTCTCCGTTGCCGAGTATATGAAGAATAAATTGTTGTATATGCTGATATGTATGTTATGTACATTTTCACAGTGATTGAATCATTGTAAACAACAAAATGGAAAAAAGGAAAAAAAAAAAAAAGAATCACCATTCTGTCTATTTTATGAAGATGATAAAGCAGCTTTATTAAATTATTACGATTCTGTTTCCAAATGGTGTACCTGCCACATTGGGATTTTTTCATCTGATGAGAACTTTGTTTTCCACCTAAATGTGATTTTCTTTTCTCTGCTTTGAGCATCTAATGCATTTTAGTATTAAAGCAATTATTGAATAAAATGGAAAGTAAGTGTTTGGTTAAATATGCCTCAGTGGATTTGCTTTGATGGGCTCCAGGTGCTGGTCCTGCAGAAGCCAGCGCATGGCTGGGTGCCACCCCAGCCCTGTCCCTGTCCCATGGCTGGTCAGCTTTGGCACTGGAGAGGCTGCAAACCTCAGGCTGAGCTTTCCTGGTCCTGAGGAGGGTCCCACGGGTGACCCACTGGGACAGGCGGGCTCTGAGCCCCTTGGAACCGGGCACAATTCTGGTACTTTGCACCAACACCTTCATCTTCCAGGGAAACACGGGATGAGAGGGATGAGCACGGGTAGGAAACACCTCCAGCACACACCTCCACTGAGGCATGCAGAGAAGACTTTATGTAGTTTTTCAGGAGTGCTTTGGAGGAGATGGTGAGGAGCATCCACTGCTTCTGAATTAACTGGTTCATGAACCACTCTTACACGTGAGCATTGATGATGTAAGATGAATCGCTCTTACATCTGAGCACATTGTAGCTAAAAGGCTCAGTGCCCTCTGCAAGGCTCAAGGCTCAGTGACACCCAGGTGGTGCTGGAGCAGGAGCAGTGACACGGGAAGCGCTTTCCCTGGGTGGGAAGATGCTTGAGCTGCACAGTGAGCATCATCCTGCACGGCAGGGACACACAGGAGCGGGGTCAGCCGGGATTAGTCCCCCTGGGTGAGCCCCCATCACCTCAAACCAGCAGGGTCGGTCCATGTGGGCTCGGCTTTGTCACAGCTGTGCCCCCCTGTTGGCACGGGGACCGCAGGTGACAGTTCCAGCAGCCCGGTGGCCGCACCCGCACTTTGTGGGGACAATGCGGAGCCCCAGCCTGGGACGAGGGGCGGGCTGGCTGCAGGCTGAGAGAGGAAATGGGGCTGAATCCCCCCGGAGAGAAAAGTCCCCTCGCAGCATCCCAGAGCAGCCCCATCCCGAGCCTGCCGGAGCCCTGGCGGTGCTGGGCTCGCTCCCGGTTTGATAATCCCCCTCCGCTCTCGGAGCAATCCGCTCTCTGTGCTGTGGGGATTGCAGATGGCAGGTTGGGCTCCTGTCCTTGCTGTGCCCCTCGGCTTGTCACTGTCCCCTGCCCTCACTGTCCCCTGTCCCCCCGGCGATGGCACCGAGAGCAGCCGGGCACKGCCKGGGGAGGGATGGAGCGGCTGCTGCWGATAAAAACGGGATCCTTCTGTCTGGAAACAGCGCCGAGCCCTCGGGATGTGCTGGGTGTCCCTCCCTGGCGCTGGCGGGTGCCGGGGGAAGGATCCCGGGGTGCAGAATCCCTGGGGCGGGGGGCTCTGGCCAGGCTGGGCTGATAACGGGAGGATCAGTGTGGACAGAGGATGCTGCAGGGGGGCTGTGCTCCCCAGGGACCTGCGGGAATCCATCACTGCTCCCCTAGGAGAGSGTTCCTGGGGCTGGCCAGGTGGCTGGCTGTCCCTGTCCTAAGGGACAGAGTTTCCAGAAGTGCTGCACTGCACCCCAAGGTACGGAGCCCCCACCCTGCTGCGCCTCCTCAGCCATGAGGCCAGGGAGAGAATAAATCAGCAAAGAAAGCAGGCAGCCCTCACCAGGCAATGTTCAGAGCTGCTTCAGAGACACGGATCTCGTTTCTGTTTCTTCTGGACATTATTCTATATTACATTTGATGCTAAACTGGAATATCTAAACAGAACCAAATTGGATTAACAAGCAATGACTTATTGTACACTTTGAGTGTTAAGCCCACAAAGACAACAACAAATAAATTGGAGGAATCAAAGGCGTGAAAGCAAAAATATGTAAAATATATCTCCRTTTGAAGCAGGGCTCTGCTCAGGGAGTGTTGTGGGCCCAGATGGGCCAGTGATGGTTCCTGTCCTGCCTTTCCGTGGTCTGGATCCAGGTTCTGCTCCCATATCTGGTGCTGGTGAGGAAGCTCCTGGACCAGCTGCCTGCTAGCCTGGGGCAGGAACCAGCGTCCAGCAGCCCCAGCGGGCTCCCACYTGTTTAAATTGCAGCTGCTTTTTGTTTTGTGTTGTTGTCCTTTCCTTTTGATGGTGATGTGAGCGAGCGTCCCCGAAGAGCCGTGCAGAGCAAACACAGGCAGGTGTACAATTACAGAGCTCACCTCTGCTGCACACAGCCCTGCTCACCTCCCCCTCACAGCCTGGAACGCACCGTGTGCCAGGGATGGCTCTTTGGGGACAAACYCTGCTGTCTGGGCAGCTTTTGTGGGGACATGGCTGCTCTGAGCCGTGCTGCAGAGCGATCAGTCACTGCGACCCAGCCTTTRGAATAAAACAACCCGAGGAAGCAGAGCTGTGGTGCTGCTGTGSAAAACCCTGCCCTGGCAGTTTCCATTAATACAGATAAAAAATTGAGACACAGGGCAAACAATATTAACCCCATCACTGATCAAGCTTAAAAGCTTTTCCCAAGAAAAATTGTCTCTGGATTGCAGTTAAATAATGGGCAGGGGGGTGGCTGCCTGCAGAAGCTTCTGTCATGGTGTGGGCAGGGCAAGAGATGGGATGGGATGGGATGGGATGGGATGGGATGGGATGGGATGGGATGGGATGGGATGGGATGGCAGCAGAGGGCCAAACACCAGGCTGATCCCTTGTAAGGCTTTAGGACATAAGAAGTTCCATGTTGGTTCTGTGTTTTAGGGGAAGATGGCACAGAAGCAGATCMTCAGCCTTGGCAGAGGCCAATCTGTGCTGCCTGAGGGTGATGAATCATCTTCCAAGGTGAAAATAAAAAGGAATGATGATAATAAAACCTCCAAAAGAGAAGCTTAGGGTAATGGTTTCCAGCTTCCCAGACAGGAGGAATGGAGGTTGATTGTGGAGGTAACTGGGGCAGGGGGTCCCTGTACCCCCAGGGCAGGGGGCTTCAGCCTGGCCCTGCTCTGTGGCTGCAGCAAAACTGCTTTACCCTTTTGCCCAAATCTCTGCCATCCCCGCCTTGTCCTGTCTCACAGCCCCTTTTRAATGCAGCTTTTCTGCCTGTGCAGGTGGATGCTGCACCCATCACCTGTGCCAGCCTTGGCTGTGAGCCCCCTGCACCCCTCATTGGCCACTCTGCTGCTCTTCGTGGGGCTGGGGCCACCTTGGGCTGAAGTGAGATGGGGATCTGGGCAGGGGCTCCAAGGATGGGACTGCAGCAGCTTCCTCCTGGCACTGCCCCCAGGAACCCTCTGCTGCTCCACTTCTGCAGTTCCCATGCGGAGAGCAGGCACAGACAGGGTTGTTTTGACTGAGAAAGGGAAAATGAGCAAGCAACCTTCTCCAGGTTCCTTTCTTTTTTTTTTTTTTTTTTTTTTTTTTTTTTTTTTTTTTTTTTTTTTTT